AGAGTTCAAGTAACAAGTTATGTGCTTCATAGAAGCGGAAAAAGTGAGCACCAGGCGTGCCCGAACCGGAGCATGGCTGAAACTCAGGCATTTGCCCCAAACTGGCCGACAGTCTTGGACTGATGTGCGCCATCTGTAGCTGACGGCAATATGGTCAATTTGGGTTTAGTTCACTGAGGAAATCAATAGGCGCCAAGTGATACGATGTGAACGTTTGTGCAGGAATACAGTGCCGCTACTATAAAGAATGTATATTTATATATATTTTGCAAGTCTATGAATAGACATTGAGCCATCAGAAACCATGGAACTCAAAACAAGGTACAGAAATAGTAATAGAAAGCACAACACAACACATCAAAGTTCGTGGTTTCGTCAGAGGGCGAGATACTACCCGGTTGTCCAAGCCGAAGTAGGGTGTTGACTTAGGGGACACCACCCCGAGCCTTTGGCTGAATAGCTTGCCCGCAAGGCAGCGGAGCGAATTCAGGGAATCGCGTCCATTGGCAGCCGGTGACTGCTTGATCAGTTCATACGCGTTTCGTTTGTTCCTTTGTCAAACAGAGGCACAATGCTCCCCAAATAAAGAATGTGGTCGGCACATAGTTGCAGGAGTCGATCGCCATTGTCTGTTCCGTGTACATCGACTCCGAAGCGGCCTCCCAGGTGCTGTTCAAAATCTGAAAGACAACCAACTTGGGCATTCGTCACAGCAACAATCACGATGTCAATATTTTTCGCCATACGGAGAGACGAAAGATGGTGATAGCTATCGTCTTCGATACCCTCCGATCTGCAGACATAGGGGCGAATAAACGGAGGCAATGAAAAGGCACCTTGTCTTCAGATGGTGCAAAAGAGAATCGAAGTCGAACCGCATACGTGCAATTATTTACTAATGTCTAGTCGAGTAGATTACCTTTAGCGTGCCTACTGTAGGCAATATTAAGACCTTAAATACCTTGGATCATTGTCTCAGTATCGCAAAGACAGTAATCATTGTCAGTAGATTCTGAATCGGGGAATTGAAGATTCGTCACGATGCTAGTCTCTTGTATGTGTTTCAGAGACACACCAAGATCAATAGAGTGAAAGTCAGTGCCGCTTGTTAGCGGAAATGATCCAGAGTGCAAAAGTTAAACGATTCCATGAGTTTTGAGGGACGAGTTACATGTATAAATGGCAGTAGCTGCAAGACCAGCGGTAGTCTGTTGCTCAAAAGACATGGGTTACACAAGAACGACGAACCTCGGTGGGTATGACAAAAAACACAAGGATATCGGGTAAGCCGTTGTGAAACAATGAAACTTTGACCGTTTCCAACTAAAAATATTACTTCCGAAATAAACGGCGAAATTGACGTGGGAAAGACCCAAAAAACAAGGGGAGAGCACCAGAGAATGTGTATCTACTAAAGCCACCTGGAATGTTGAACTACTTAATAGACTAGCGGAGACCGGACATTTAGGTACAAGAGAGAGCACATCCAGGATTAAGGACCCACCGGTTATCAGATGGAAGAGATAGGCGATCGCATTGCAATGACTGCACTACTTCAAGTCGCGTAGAGGTGCATGGAGTAAGAAAAGGAAAACGTAAGAAATCCTAAATCTAGATGAATAAGACAATTTCTCGGTACTGCTCAATTCAGATGACAAGTGAATGTGAGAAGGCGCATCTCAAACGCTTTAGTGGCCTATTCGAATCGTTGCATCTGATGGTGTATATATCTGCTATCGTAGATTTGTCAGTTCAAAGGCCGCGAGTTAACGAACCGAGTGATGGAGCATTCTGCAGGGAAAGTAGCACGAGAAAAGTCATATGCAACATTGAACGACAACCTCATTCCCTAGATTTTAAGTTATTCACGGCAAGAACGCACGGCTAATGGTTCCCGCCGGTATCAGTTACGAGGAATTGAACGACCTCACTATACCCGTCTAGTAGAGTGGCAGTGTAGATTGAGTTGCGCTAGTGAAACTGAGCAAGAACCATAAAACCCATCTACAAGATCCAGTGAAGAGAAGAGGGAAAGGGGTCAGATTTCCACCACTCACGCGCCTCGGACCTTGGAAGGTGTGTGGGACATTCAGAGTGCAAAGCGGATAAATAAGAGTGCAAACACCAAAGCATTATAATCGGAAGATGCGCGGCTGCAAGGGTGAAGCTGCGGGCCACATGCGGGCAATAATCAGAAATAGATCCGATGTTCCGTTCAGTAATTGCAAGCCTGATACGGAAGAATGGATGACTATCAGCAGAGACCGTGTATAAATCTAAAGACCAAGTGTGGAGATTGGGCATTCGTGAATGCGAATCGTCTGGCATAAGTCTGAGCATGAACCGCCGTCATTAGAGACAGACTACTGGAGTAAGAGGATTAACAGGACCAAATTCCGCAACCGTACAGTAGTTTTTGGAGGATTACCTCATTTTAGACAAGAACGTGCAGGACGAATGTGATGCCGCGCCGGCGCCGTGATTGGCGAAGACTAGCAAAGGCAAGACGAGCATTGGCTATACGGTTTGTGACGTCATCCACAAGCAGATAGACGTTAATAAGGCTGCCCAGGTTGGTAAGTCCAAAGCAACCAATCTGACGAGATCAAATGAGGTAGGTCGAAAAGCGTCGTGGTGTGCAGTGTTTTCGGGCAGACAATAGCAACTTTCCATCTGCTTTGACTGCGTCCCAATGATCGCACTGACCAAGATTCACTTCAATGTGAATCGCGGTCTATATTAAGATAGCGCGACGCAATCCATTCTCATAACGAGTAGTTCATAATGACCCTCCATCATCATCAATACACGTTAGCCAAAGGTGAAAAACACACCTTAGCTAATGTGTTACAAAAGAACCCTCCAATCATAGAGGAAACCTTTGGATTTTAAGGGTGCCAAACAGCCCTAAACGATTAACATCAGGTGGTAATCTATCAAGGCAAAAATATAGCGCCATCAACGTAAATAATAAAAGCTAGTTTGGACCTCTTCGTTTTTGTGCCGCTGGCCCGGATTCCCTCCCACCTGCACTATTTAAGGATGGAGTTGAGGTCCTCTGCAGGGCACTGACCTCCCTATTCGAACGTATTTGGAACGAAGTGTCCCGGCTAACTGGAGCGAATCGATCATAGTGGCAATATACAAGAAGCGCAGTCGCACAGACTGTGCTAACCACAGGGGTATTAGCCAAACCCCAGTTGTGACAAAATTACTGATCTCGATTCTTGTTTGTCGCCACACTGCGGAACAGGAATCCCGGATAACAGAAAATCAGGCAGGTTTCAGCCCTAGACGTGGTTATATTGACTATATATTCACTCTGCGGCAGGTGCTAGAGCAGCGCCACGCATACGGCAGACCGACAATAGCTATGTCCCTTGATTTCAAGAGCGCGTTTGATTCAGTCGATCGATGCATTCTGTTCGAACTACTTGCGCGGAAATGCGTTCTCACGAAAGATGTGAACATCTAAAGTTCTCTATACTCGAACACTACAGGTCGCATCAGGGTCTACGGTGACCTTTTTGAGGGTTTTCCGAGAACAAGTGGCGTTCGTCAGGGTTGTCCAAATCCAACGTTTTTGTTCAATTTCATCGTGAACTCCATCACAGAGCGTTCCCTTGCGGAATCTCACGATGAAGGCGTTGAAGTGCTGCCTGGTGAAAGGTTAGTTGATCCTGATTATGCGGACGATAACGTCTCGCTGTTTAACAATGTCGCGGCAAAGCAAACAACCCTGAATAACCTGTCTAGAGTGGTCCCATTATTTGGTATGCGCTTCGCATCTTCAAAGCGCAAAGTGTTGCTGCAGGACCACCAATCACCTGATGATCCCTGGACCCTAGATACCGAGGAGCTGGAGGTAGTTGATTAATTCACTTATCATGGCAACTGCATCAGCAATGATGGGCACATAGAAAATGAAGTCAGTTCACGCACTGCAAAAGTCAACTACCTTCTTGAATCTGCGACAGCTTTGGCGACAGAAAATGGTTTCCCCCCGTCTGAAGGGCCGTGTATACAAGGCCGGGTGAGGGCCGTCCTGCTTTATGGTAGTGAGATCTAGGCACTTCGTTTTGAAGATCTGAGGCGCGTTCAAGGCTTTGTCATTTTTCTCTGCGGAGCATTGCTGGTGTGGGGTGGCACCAGCGTGTCCTCTACGATGGTGTGCATAGGCGAGTATTTGGCTGTGATAACCAAGCTAGTTTCTTAAACCAACAGATAGGACTGAGTAAGTTGCGTTGTGGTGAGCACGTTCTACGTATGTCTAATCGCCGATTACCTAGGAGGGGCTTGTTTAGTTTGCTAGATGTAGGGTGGCGCAAGGAACGAGGTGGACAGAAGGTGACTTGGTAACATGTAATGAAGTCACTGAGGACCAAACTCGCCTCCGGGGCTGGAATTCACGTGACTCGCCTTGTGCTTGGCTCCAAATTTTACAGGACGTGGCTCGAATTTGGCACCAGTGACGTGTCTGTTGCCGTCTCCTGGTCGGACAGCCTGCTTAAAGTGTGCTTGGTCCTGAGTTATCTACGGGGTAATGGCTGATTATAACGCGGATAGTGAAAGCATCAACGAAGCTGTTTCGCTGATGCCGCAATATCTTTGCACGATAGTTGGTTGTTTGTGATGGTATGTTGTTAACACAAGGTGTAGGCGCCATGACTATGCATGATTGTTTAGGACATAAAGGTTTTCCGGTAAGTTCTGCTTATCTCTTTCTTATTATTCGTCGTTCAGTAGGTCGTTATGGTTGTATGGCAGTGAAGAATCAGTCCAAGTGGCTGATGAACTGCTGTTGATGATAATGATGGACCGCATGATTGCTGCACTTCTGGTATAGTCCATGCAACAGAATGTTGACGAAATCCAATGCAGTCTGTAAAATCCTACTAAAAGGGAATGATGGCAGAGAGAAAGTGTAAAATCACGGGAAACATATGAGTATCATCACATCAGACTGTGATGACACTCTCAAGCATCAATGAGCAATTCAAGGGAGGAGCAAGCACATCAATAAATGTAATGAATGATTTATGCTAGAGAGCAAGGACCAAAAATGGAAATGGTGTATTTCACGGGTGTTCAAGGATAAAAATTGTGAAAACAGCCAAACGAAAAGATACAATAGTGCGTAGTTTAGGTCAGATGGCACGTGGTTGGTGGAATGAGGAGAACAGACAAGCGGAGGTCACAGCACAGGGGGACATGCAGGTTGCTGTTGTAGCTAAGTTTGTCGCACATCCGGTGTGGTATCACTAAGGTAAGTGGCTATAAGTCACAAATTCGCCTGAAATGAAAAGCGGGAATAAAGATTAGATGGCATACGTGAGGAAAACAAGGTAAAACGGAATCGCAGTGCTCAGGTGCTGCATGCGCATGTCTAACTTTAAATCAATGTCTACGAAGACATTTGGAAAGTAAATTCCACAATAGCCTGAAGGAGTGTAGAAACTGGTAAACCAATGCATCACGCAAAGGCTCAGTCCAGTTGAGAATGAAATGTGCCGAGCGAACTATCATGTGATCTAGATCGTCGACGAAAACTTCGAGCGCCAGTCGATTCGAGGTAGTGCACCTCTCTGTCGACCAAGTAAACAGAAGCCAAACCAGAAAACATCATAAGTCATCAGAAAACTGCATCCCATTTAAATCAAAAAAACTGGTTACATATCTGAAGGGACGCGAAGTCAAGGTGCAGTGCACACGCTGCAAGAAGGACATTAGTTGCGCGACTGCACCGTATGCGCACATGATGCATCGGTGTACCATAACAGAGAGAGACGAAACGCATGGCTTACAGTCGGTTCTTAAAGCGTTGAACCCAGATTGAGAATGGACTGGTACCAACAGGAACAGACAGTAACCCAATCGATTATGACAAAAAATGCTGACGATCGATCAGGTGAACAAAAGATGCTAAACGAAAGTGAAAAATCATCGAAATACATTACCTGTACTTAGTAGCTGGTCCGATGACGTAAGCGCCGCCACATAAGAGGCATGTAAGGAGAATAAAGACGGCACCTTCCAAAACTCGAAGACGGAATGATATCACATCAATATCGCCCTGAGATCAAGATGAGAGGTGGACGGATGATGGAATGGAATAGATAGTAAAGAGCATAAAGAACGAAAGGAGGCAACAAAGTGGCTTGGTGATGCATGGCTAGGAAAAGAACACAAAAAGCATTCCGGGTTGTAATACAGAGGAAGCCAGCAAAGGACACGTCTGTTGGTTGGATTGCACACGCACTTTAAGTACCGATGAAAAGTAACACTAAGCGCTAGATACCGGGCGTGTTCGAGAGCGCCTAAAATGCCTGTACAGTGGATGTCCGACTATAGCTAAGCTCAAATTCGGCTCACATCGGAGCGCATGCGAAGTTAGTCATACAACGAGGGAGTAAAAAGATGGTCAAACAGAGGAAACCGGAAACGGTGAGGTTGTCTAAAACGTCAATCTACATTATAATAGTAAAGTAGACTTGCCTTTTTCAAGACAGGAAGTAATTCCGGAGGAAGTTGAAAGTCTGTGCGTATACGTATGCGTCCATTACATCGATTGGAAGCAAACAAATCCGAACGTGTTGTCCACTCCAATCGACTATACTTGGTGCGATATTTTGATGAATCTGATTTGACAAAAGGATGACAGCTGCGGCGCAGTCTGTGTGTGTGTGGAGGAAAACGATTGCTGAAGTAGATGCTAATGGAGAGGTTCATTGTAGTAAAATGCATATCGAACCCCAAAGTACGGGACATGAGGCGTTGAGCAGTGATGTAGCCCGGTCAGTGGAATAAAGAAACCGGTTTTGGAAAGTGGCAGAGAGATAAAATATCACGGATATATAAATAACAATTAGGCAACGGGTGGTAGATGTCGAAACAAGATATCCCCAACAAACGACTAAATTCTATAAATTAACGCCGCTACTTTCTCTCTGCTCTTTGCCACTGACAACGGCTGTACTGCCTGCTTTGCTGTCCTTTGAGACTGCGACTGTCTAACTGCTCACTCACGGCCCCAGCCAACCGAAGGAATACAAAAGGCCAGAGAGTATTTCCACAGGATAGATCAATTCTATTTATTAGTAAACTAAACGTACTAGTTTTAGAGGTCAAGGTCACTCACTCTTCTGCGTCTGGTTTTCAGCCAGTGTGAGTGAATTCCGCCCCACGGGTTTACCATATTGACGGAACAATTCCTTTGACACGGGCTTGTATTTGCTGGCTGATCAATTCGCAGTCGATTCCCAAAGTCGGCGGAAAGAGCAAAGGTCGTACCACGCCCGTGCTGATGACCTTTGCATGTATGCCAGCGTACCGTTCGAACTCGACCTTGTTCATAGGTTTCCACTTTGGGATAAACTTGTAACCATTGTGTTCGTCTCCGCTTTCGGGTCGGCTTACATTGTGTATCAGCTGATGCTTGCAGGTTCTGTTGTAATCCACGTAGCTGCTCAGCTTCCTCCTCCAAACAAAACGTGTCTAGCAGGATGTCCCATGGTAGGGATGGAGGTTCTGGGGGAGTTTGAGTCTTGCCGTGATTCGGACTCAGCTGGTTGGCATTCATGACCCATTTCCCATCTCCTACCATTAGCTCGTGGATGACCCAACCGTTTTCTGCGGATCACTCTTCCTGTCGACTACCTGCTCGGTCCTCGGAAGTCTCGCGCGAACACCATGTTCTCAATTTTGAAACGACGCACGCTGTCTGTCCGCTTTTCCCCCCGCGTGATAACTGCAATGCTTTTCTTTCCTGCTTGGTATAAGGCGGTTTGCTTTGAATACTGGTTTTGTGACTGGCCTGAGGTTCAGGGCAGCACTGGTGATTCTGTAATATGCTGGACCAGTTTGGAGTATTGCCTCGTGGCGTCTTTTCATCTGCGTAATCTGACTGCCTTTGATTTCTACCGTCTCATCCGCACATCTGATAGACATATCAGATTTTGAAGTGGCTGTGTGGCAGAAGTGTTGCTGTTCCGTTGCTTCCACATTTGCGACCAGGATTCAAGTTGAGCAACCTCTGGCATTCTGGAACAATTGCTTGCGATGTCCGCTTCAGTTCCGATTCCCATTCTACTTGAATGTTTAATTTTGGTGATAGCAGTTCCAGCAACTGCCTCTGTGACTTTTCGAACTGCTGCGAAAATGCCTGCAATTGTTCGGAGCTGACTGCCATTCTGGGTTCGATTGAAACTCGTGTCGCCACTGTTGTAACGCTGCTATTTTCCCTCTCTGCTCTTTGTCACTAATAACAGCCACTTCGATTGGCCGACACTTATTGACCACAGGTCACCGAGTCGAGGTCACTTCAGCATTCACAATCTAAGTACAGCACAACAATTCTCGCCTCCTTCGTTTCGCAGAGGCGATTGCAAGTAACCGGATTAAGCCGCTGCTTTATGTTCACAAACAATTATCGGTCAGCAGTAGACTGCCCTGGGGATAGGGGTGATAACCCTGTCTCGCTTATCGGGTGTTGGTATGTTTGTTTGTTTGCATGTATGTTTCGATGCGGGAGAGCCTATGGTGCGCTGAGGCTGGTGGTGGCTAGATCCTGACAGATGGTCTACCCACTGCTGCTACTGTTGCGCCATAGTCTCATGTCCTGGGCGCCTCCACGTGGCGACCGCTGGGTGGGAGTTAGGTTTCGCCCTTCTCCCTGCTAAGATCCAGGACACCAATCCGCATGAGTCAGTGAACTGACCATGTGCTAGACCCGCTGCCTTTCGGGTGTTCATTTAATCGAAGGCTTTGGCTGAGGACCCGAGTCGTTCTCCTGTCAGGTGTGGGCGCCCTGGCAGTATCCTAGTCCATCCTCTCCGGAGGTTAGGAAGTGGTCGATGGCCCACTTCCCGTAAAACCTAGCCATGGGAGACAACAGGTTACGGGTTATATTCTCAATGCTCGATTGGCGTAGAGCACGAGTACCACGCATTGTCTCTGACGGTGGGAGGACACCTCCGGGTGTTCAATGGTTTGCTACTGCCCGCCTCAAGCCAGGCAGCCCCTGGTCAAATTGGTGCAAACCCGCCAAAAACCCACCTGCGTCTGGCCGTGGTCGCAGGTGCGTATCCAATTACGGTCGCAAAACATATGATAACTGTTCCAGAACCTCAAAGGCTGCGTGTGACGGCCGTCAAGCAGATCCCCATCTGTCTCTGCAATCACATTCCCGAGCTGGATCTGCTCTCCACTGCCTTGTGGGTCAGGCTATTGAGCCAAAGGCTCCGGGTGGAGTCCCTCAAGCAAACCTCCAAACCACCCACTGCCTTGTGGGTCAGGCTATTGAGCCAAAGGCTCCGGGTGGAGTCCCTCAAGCAAACCTCCAAACCACCCACTGCCTTGTGGGTCAGGCTATTGAGCCAAAGGCTCCGGGTGGAGTCCCTCAAGCAAACCTCCGAAGCACAACGACCACCTCGCGTGCGATTGCCCACCAATGCAATCGTATGCCTGCGCGCAAAGCACTCAACATCGGGTGCTGGAACGTGCGCACACTACTGGACCGGAACTCGAGCGAGCGCCCGGAGCGACGCACTGCACTGGTCGCAATGGAGCTGGCGCGCTACCACATCGATATTGCGGCGCTCAGTGAAACTCGGCTCGCTGAGCAAGGTAAGTTACATGAAGCAGGTGCTGGCTATACATTCTACTGGGTGGGGAACGCCGCCTCAGCACCACGTGAACATGGGGTCGGATTTGCAATATCCGATCGCCTGAATGGCCAGCTGGTGGGTGAACCAACGGGCATCAGCGCGCGGCTGATGACTGTTCGCCTGCGACTCGGAAGAGGTAAGTTTGCTACTTTTATAAGCACGTACGGTCCGACCATGTGTTATCCTGATGACACGCGTGATCAGTTCTACACTGAGCTATCCTCCGTGATACGGTCTGTGCCGAGGAGCGACCGACTATTTCTGCTGGGTGATTTCAACGCGCGCGTTGGGCGTGATGCATCAGCGTGGACAGATGTTATCGGTGCGCATGGCATTGGTTCAGCGAATGCGAACGGTGACAGGCTGCTCTCACTGTGTGCCACTCACGGCCTGACGATCACGAACACTCGGTTTGCACTGAGTGCGAGTGATATAGCAACTTGGACGCACCCACGGAGTGGTCACGCTCACCTGCTCGACTATGTCATCGTACGTCAGCGTGATATGCGTGAAGTGCGCATGACACGTGTACTGCGTGGAGCTGAGTGTGGCACTGATCACAAATTGGTTCGGACCAAACTGTACATATATTTTCGTAAATCGATGTATTGCACTCCCGCCGTGAATCGGCGTAAATTTAACATTCTCTCCCTCGGCACTGTGGCGAAACGTGCTGAGCTGGAGAAGGCGATGGCTGCACGCCTGTGTGGTGATGTGGACTGTATAGCCACAGTGGGCGACCTGTGGCACCACATTCGCGACCAGGTGACAGCTGCTGCGGAGGAGACCATCGGGCGCGCAAACTGTAAGCGGCCTGATTGGTTTGATGACAACAATGTGACGATTGACGCATTGGTGTCAGAGAAGAATGCAGCATTTGCTGCACATGTTGCAGACCCCAGTGACTTGGGGAAGAGTAGTCAGTTTCGCAAACTTCGACGGCGACTGACCCGAGAGCTCCGTCGCATTAAAAATGCATGGTGGACGGAGAAGGCGAAGCAGATGGAATGCTACGCCGAACGCCGTCAACACAAGGAATTCTTTGACTCCTTGAAGGCGGTGTATGGACCGAGATTGGAGCCGCTGAGGACACTGATCGATGGTAGTTCAGGCGCTACCTGCACCCAGACTGCAGACATAATGCAGGTCTGGCGGAAACACTTTGACTGTCTCTTGAACAACCGTTCAGAGATCGACTGGCCTACATTGAATGGCCTGAAGCAGCACGATGTGAAGGCGGATCTGGCAGATACGCCGAGACTGGATGAGACGCAGAGAGCACTTGCTCAGCTGCGAAACGGCAAATGTGCCGGAGGTGACGGGATCCCACCTGAAGTATTGAAACACGGTGGACCCGCGTTGTTGACTGCGCTGCACCACTTGGTGCAACGCGTGTGGATTGAGGAGGAAGTGCCTTCTGAGCTGAAGGATGCCCTTGTGCTACCACTGTACAAGGGCAAAGGTAGCAAGCAATGTTGCACGAATTATCGTGGCATCAACTTGCTGAGTTGTGTGGGCAAGGTGATTGCCCGAATCCTGCTCAATCGCCTCGTGAGTCAGATTGTGGAACCTCACGTGGCGGAAGAGCAATGTGGATTCCGTTCGGGTCGCAGCACTATAGATATGGTGTTTGCGGCTCGTCAGTTGCAAGAGAAGTGCAGAGAACGACACCAGCCTTTGTACTCGCTTTTTGTTGATTTCACCAAGGCATTTGATACGGTGAACCGCGAGGCACTGTGGCTGGTGTTGGGTAAGTTTGGTTGCCCGCGTAAGTTTGTAAGTTTAATTGAATGTCTGCACAGTGGTATGCGAGCGAGGGTGCAGCTGAGTGGAGAGACCTCTGATGACTTTCCAGTTGTCTCTGGTGTGAAGCAAGGCTGTGTGTTAGCTCCTGCCCTGTTTAATATCTATCTTCATGCAATGTTGTCTTGTGCTTTTGATGCGGCTTGTGTTTACGGTGTTCGTGTGGAGCACCGTATTGATGGTGGGTTGCTGAACATCCGTCGTT